TGAGGGTGTGACCGTTGACACTTGGTCCTTCGAGGAGTCCTAGGCATTCCTCTTCTCTCTAGCAACAGCTCTCCTGCTTAGTTACAGCCCCGTCCCTCTTATTAATTTTTGAGACAGGGTCTCATTTGTATCCTTAGCTGGCCTGAAACTCTATATGTAGAGCAGGCTGGCCTTGAACTCAGATTTACTTGCCTCTGCCTTCTAAATGCTGAGATTAAAGGTGTGAGCCACCACACCTGGCCCTCAGTCTGTATTTTATAGCAGAAAGTTGTATGCTGTCATTTTGAAGTGTGTTACTTTCATTCTAAAGCATAACAAAAGGCTGGGTGTGCTCCCAGGACCATGACTATTAAAAATGCCGATGACTTTCTTCTCCTTAAAAAAAATGTTCTTTTGTCGTTTCATAGCTCTTAGTGGTTAAGAGTTGTGACTGCAGCTTGACTTCCAAATTCCTAGATACTAGTATTAGTGCTACTCAACTTAGGAGCTTGGGGCCCAGTTTGCCAAGGTGTTGGAGTTGAATATGGTAGGTAGGGTGAAGTGTTAAGAAAAATACCTGATAGTGCTTTGTACCTAAGAAGCATCTAACCAGTATTAGACACTCTGTTTTGCCTTTGGTGTCATGTGGTTGACTGTTCATAGTTAATAACTAAGGCACAGGGCAGAGAGGTATTTTTATGTTTTCCTAGTGGGTAGCCCAAGCTTAGAAAGTCAGTGAGAATTAATTTGGACTTCTTCCTTGTCTTGCTACCAATTCTGGATCGCAGAGCCTGATTTTGTTAGCCATTTTCAGGACAGGTAAGCATTTATGTAGAACTGGTTGACATTTGCTTACATAGCTATATTTGGGGCAGGAACAGTTCAATAACGGATTTACAACTAGGTTAATCTGTGGGTTTTTTTTTTTTTGAGACAAAATGCTGTTAGTCCAGGGTGACCTTGAATTCTCCATCCCATCACGACTGCCAGGTGCTGTAACTGTAGACCTGGGCTACCACTCCTCACTGAAAAGCAACTATTCAGTTGTCTCTGGGAGGATGTCATTTTGTGGTTTTACTGTATTTTGCTTGGACTTTGAAATCACAAAGTGGCACACCTAGTACAGATTTGTACTCATCATTAATTCAGAGAACATTTTTATTTTACTAGTTAAGTGCATGTATGTGTGCCTGTACTTTTTCTTTTTTTAAGAAAAATACTGGTCAGTTATGTAACTCTCACCACTCTGCGTGATCATCTGAGCATTCTTTATTTTGACAGTCTTGGGAAGGCTGGCTCCCATGATCTCAGCACTTAGGAGGCTGAAGCAGGAAAATCAAGAGTTTGAAGTTGCTTGATCTACACAGCAAGACCCAGTCTCAAAAATAGAAAACAAAAAGAAAAACAAAACCCTTGAGTTCTTCCTCTCTCTTTTCATGGGATTGACCCAGAGTCTCATGCATGCTAGGAAAACACTCTTACCACTGAGCTGTTAATTCCTAGCAAAAAAAATCACTGAGCTGTTAATTCCTAGCAAAAAATATTTTTGTTAACTTGATCACTCACTATAATTTTAGCTAATATTTTGTTGATACTTGAAGTCATTTTTCTTTTTTGCTATTTATAGTAGCCTGTGAATCCTGGTTATATTTTTTTGGGACTAATATTTTAAGTCTTGATATTTTTATTGCTTTCTGAAAAAGTTTCAGTAGAAGTGTGAAGGATTTTGTTAAAATCTACAAATCAGAGATTAGAATTAAACAAGTCAAGGTAGGTTTCGTGTATGTTTGACAGCCAGTAAGGCTTATGTTTTAACATTGGTCAGCTATTAAATTTCTTCATACTCTTGGCCTGGATGGATGAGATAGCCACATTCCTTTCTTCTTTTTAGATTTGACATACAAAGGTTAATTCTTGTTTTTACATTGCTTTGTTAAAATGAACAGTTTTAGTCAACATCTGTGAGCCTTTTGACTTCCAGGAGATTTTATGTGGTAGGTATACATGACACTCTGACTTCATTTTGCTTTTAATATTCCTGTTTGTATACTGCTAGGAATAAACTAGGGCCTCTCATGCTGTACCCTCAAGCTCTGCTTTTCAATTTTTTTTTTTGTTGTTGTTTTTTTTGAGACAGGAAGACTAGCCCCAGCTGGCCTGGAACTCACAGAGACCCACCTGCCTCTGCCTCCCAAATGCTGGGATTAAAGGCATGCACCACCACACCCCCCTTTTTTACTTTTAAACTTAAGTTTAATCATACTGAATTGAGTCCTGGCCAGGTTAGATGGTATTGATCATTGGGGGAAAGGTTTTCCTTCTGCCTTTTTTTTCTTCACTATGTGTATGACTTGAAGGTTCACATTTATGTAAACTTTCACGAGTGTGAGCTTAGCTTAGTTCAGAAAAATAGCGTGCATCTCCTTTCTTCCAAAGAATTCAAGAGCTCTTTAAATTCAGGAACATCTGCAATGATTCTAGTAATAGAATTTTATTCATCCAGATTCCAAAGATGAAAAACTGGTAAGTAATCCAAATTTAAAAATAAAAATTATTGGACCAAACTAAACATACCTGGGTTTAGTCTGTAACTGCTGCAGTAGATGAACACATGCCATTATTGTCACCATTGCTTTATATTAGCAAGAATGGTACTGATCCGCTAACATGGTGTGCAACGTTCCTGTAATCCTGGCCCTTGGGCGCTGCAGTAGGAAGGTGAAGCTCAAGTGCATAAGAAGTTAGATGCCTGCCTGCGTATACAGTGAGGCTGCAGTGTTGTGGAAGCCTGTAGATCATTCCCCATGGTGGGTATGCAAAACAAAGAATTACTTGGTGTTAGTTAAGCTAATTAGATTGTTTACCAAAAGGAATTCACATTTGTCTAACTGGCATCACCCAAAATTCAGCTTTCTTTTCATTCCAAGCACTAAAGTGTATCTCGTTTTTTATTGCCAACAAACTTCCTAGAGTTGAAATTCTTTTGATAACTTTTAAAACATTATTTAGGTCCTTTTAATATTTCCTTCTCTTTCTGTCTCTCTCCAGGGTCTCACTGTAGCTTGGCCTTGAATCTGCTATGGCATTTAACTCAAGAGACTGGCCTGCCTCCTGAGTGCTGGGATCAAAGGTGTGCAGTGTGCCGCCATGCCCAGCTCTTTTTTTTAAAGATCATAATTTTGATTGTAAGGCATACTAAATGCTAGTAAAACAAAGAAATGAGATTAGTGTTGGACCATGAGTCATCAAGTTGACAGTGACTTTAATCCTGATTCTCTTTCATTTTAAATAGCTGCTGAGTAGTTTCCACAGAGAGAGGAGCTTAAGTACAGTTTCCTGTTTTGACCAAAGCAATGTGAGCTCAAACATGTGACTTCTTCATTAAACAAAACTAATCCTAGTTAAACTTTGTATTTGGAAGAATTGTGAAAACAAATATTTTTATATGCCAGTGTCAAGACTATAATGGTAAGGTTTATTTCACATCAGTATTTCATAAAGGAAAATACTTAAGTGCAGCCTTTCTGTTGACTGCCTGACATCAGTTGGTTTAAGTGGATGTCACGGTCTGATATGAAGCTGCCTCCAAGAAGGCTCTTGTGTAGAAGGGGAAGGCTGGTTCTCTGCTGGTGGTATGGAGAGGTCATTGGATCATGGTAACTTCATCAGTGGATGAGCTTACAACTGAATTCTTAGGGGTGGGGCTAGCTGGAGGAAGTCCCTGGAGGGTTGTGTCCTCTCCAGATTTTCCCCTCTGGCCCTTGTGCTTCCGGCTGCCAGGAGGCAAAGTGTTTTGCCCTGCCATACCCTCCCTCTCCACCAGGATTTTCTGCCGAAATGCAAGTCCACATTGATGGGGCAGCCATGGATGAAACCTCTGAAGCCACAAGCCAAAATAAATGTCTTCTGTGTTTTTTTTTTTTTTTTTCTCAGCTGTTCTGTTACAACAAGAAGTAACTGTCCGTTCACCTAGTCCTGGAAGCCAGTGGTAGACACCACTAACTGCAGTGCCCAGAAGGAAATCCATGTTCTGTGGCTCAGGCAGCTATTTATCAGTCAGT